ACACACACACACATACACACACACACAGATGAAAGGGGGGAAATAAAGCACCATTTAAATGTGGCTGACGTTACTCTTACACATCAATTTAGGAGGAATTTATTTAACTACTTTCATGCTTGTGTGTGAGTCACTGTGCACCTGTGCACATCTCGTTCGTGATCGTACGTCATGGTTTACTTTTTCGTGCCAATATTTGTTTAGAATGAAAAGTATTCATGCGCTCTTCTTTTATGCAAATCCCACAAGGCCTGCAGTTATTGGTGTGTTGTCTACGGAGCACCAGAAATAGAGTGGAATAGGAAACTTGCCAAACTCTCAATCATACTCTGGCAAGAAACTTCTCATGCAAAAACATGGGCCAACTGAGGACACACAAGTGACTTATCAAGGCTTAGGGACTATTTCTGTCTGTATGCATGTCAGTCTGCCAAAAACAGTCATTTTAAAAACATACTTTGTAGCAAAGGTACGTCGAAAGCCTGGATTAGCGCTGTTTCTATTCATTTAGGAGAGTCTTCTGTAGATGACATATTCAATACTTTTTTATTTGTCACCTCAAAGGTAACTAGTCGTCGGAAAATGATGTTCCATAAACCTCACTTTTATTGACCGACACAGGAAGGATCATAGACGTTTTTTTTAACATTTCGTTGATATTGACAATATTGGTTCACGCGGCCCTGCGTGTCAGCCCCGCCACATCCAGAGCTGAATGCAGGCGGTGGCATATCTGAAAGTCGATGGTACTCATTTTGACCCTTCTGTCTGGCTCCCCTTCTATTTATACGTCCGGATATGGCAAGCAGACACCGAGGAGGTATCAAATATTTGCAATACAGCAAATTAAACGGCCTCAAAGAGCTACCTGTGAGGTATCTCTCCACATGTCTCTCACTGACGGACATTTTAGGGGAACTTCTTTACCCCTTCTCAACCATTTTATCTTATTTTCTTCTCGGCACAAACATGAACGAGATAGACATTAGATCTTCTGTTGATGCTGATGTAAATGAGTTCTGTTTGGGAAATATTAATCTCGATTCTATTTAATGGTAAAACAGGATTCGTTGCTAATCCTCTTGAAGCTTTGCAGAATAATTTCCTGACCTAATATTCATAAATTTAAATTGTGTGTCGGGTGTTATGCAAGATCAAAGGTAAAGATGCCAAGTTATCTTTACTAAAACCAGTCAATAATCACAGAACAGACACCCTAATATTTATTAGACTGATAACTTTAATATTCTTTGACTGAGCCATGAATAAAACTGATTAAATTAAAAACTTTTTATATAGCATTATAAATGTGACGCTCTATGATTTAAATCTGCCTGGTCAAAGACATATCGCACTGGAAATTTACTGGATTTTTAAGATACTTTAATTAACTAACTGCAGTTTTTTTTATTGACTTTTAAAAGCAAAAGAAAAAGATATTTCATCCACAGTACAACCTTATATACTGCAGCTGTCTCCATTAAATTAAAACCTTTAAAAACCGTGATTTACACACCTTTAGACATATTTCTGAGGTCGCCGCTTCAACCCCTTTTCAAATACACACTCATAAAGAGCATATAGGCCTCAGTCCATCGCTCCGGTGGTCACTAACCTGGAAGTACTTTGGCCCACTTCACCATGCGCACCATCTGCTTTCCGGCCAGGCGGTTGAGACTGGACAGCAGGTGGTCGGTGGTGTCAGGCTGTGTGTTGTCGTAGCCAGAGTACACCTCCTCGGGCTCGATCAGCTCCAACACGCTGCAGATGGAGGGCGGCAGAAAAGGCGTGACCACCCCAGGCCCGTGGGGCACCAGGGCATTGGCAACGCTGGCGTTCAGCTCCTTCTCTGAGGACAGGTAACCGCCTCCAACGCCACCTGTGGCAGTTTGGCCGTCCTTAGAGCCCTGCAGGTCCTCGCTGACTCCCTTCAGCTTTCCCAACTTTTTGGACTTTCGTGCTGTGGGGAACAGAACCGGCTCTTATTAACACATCAGTGATGGGAGCATTTTTTACAGTCATCATCGGACAGAGACTGCAGAGGTTGTTACTGTACATGTTGGGATGTGGATCAGTGTCTTTTTTTGACAAAAGTCCAGCAAAATCAGGATTGAGCGTAAACAAGATCCATCTACTGCAGTTCTGCAATAATCACAATAAACCTCCCTTTATGAATATTACATGAACTGTATTGCAATAAACATAAAGATGTTTATGACCCCAGAAGCCATATAAATAGGGTGGACAAAACAGAAACAACTGTCATACAACACAACACAGTCCAGCAGCACCACAATCTCAAAAACGACCATGAAGATGAATCAACACCTCCATAAAACAGGCTCAGTAAAGAGTGGAGATAAGAGTCATTGCATCACTGTTGCATTAGACTGTGCAGTGGATGTAGCAGAACCTAACAGACCATCAACTGGGTGTACATGCCCATGCCATTCAAGGGAAAAATCAACTCAGGTGTTTTGCTGCACAAAGAAACTCGAACTGTAACAGCTCCTGTGCTAAAGTGGTATTTTCTCAGGCTGCTGTTATTTGCACTGGTTTTATCAAACTGTGATGCATGAAATGATTTTCTCCTACTATTAGATCCAATGGTAGCTGAGCGTCGGTGGTCACAGTCACACATTTTTCCACATATTTCCTATGTGGCAAGCAATGAAAAATATTTTTAGTCTTTTACGATCGGACGTCTGTCAGCTTTCTTCACTCGTCTCCATGTCTATATCAGACTCCTGACACCTTCAAGTATTTACTCATGACTTGTGTATTTACTCATGACTTGTGACTTGTGTGATCTGCTGTTTGTTTTACTCAACAGAGATGCATTCACTTCAAGTTGTGTTTTTTCTGGGTTGAATGTGTATCAGTTGGAAATTATCTGCTGGGAAACACACTGTATCTCTGCCCAGGTCCACCTCACACTAACATTTGAATAGCTGATGTATCTAATGGGGTTTTCAAAGCTTCACTCCCCAATCTCATCTGTGCTTGGAGCATGTTTGGAGTCAATCACTGTGTATTTATGCTTCTTGTATTTGGGAGGAATGATAATCTGTCTAATAATTCAAGAAACATCTGTTTGTCTGTGGCTCGCATATCTCGAGCACCGTTCATCTTTTCATCTTCACACTCGCCCTGTGTATTATAAGGGACCCAATGAAGTGAAGTGTCAGTGATTTGGACACGTGATACGTTCAATATTCATCAAATTTGCATAAACAGACAACCAGAGCTCTGTGGCAGCAGCAGATGGGACTCATTTACGTTCAGCTTTCAGAAAGAAAGCTACATCCGGCATCACCACAGGCCGGCGATGTAGCCACACTATATAGTTTATACTTGCATAATACTTTAGTTCAACATGAATGAGTAACACAGGACAGCCTCTTCAAATGTTCCTGTTGACTCTTCTGCTCTGCTGCTGCACGTCTGCGACCTCTGTGCTATAGATCTGCAGACACCAGCTCGACTCTGCTGCTGTTCATGCAGCACGTCACAGGACCCACCTTCACCCCAGTGTTCATCATGCAGACTCCTGTTCCCCTGTGACGAGTCTATTTCAAACCTGTCTCCTCTGTGCATGAGCATTATTAGTGTTTTAGAGGGCAACGATGAAAAAGCAGAAAAATTACCCTGTTCACTCAATAATGAATCAATTTAATACTACTACTTATAATTATATAATAATATTGTCTTGTTGCTTGGGATGTACTGTATACACTCATACTTTCACATGTCTTTAGTTGTGTTTCTGGGATTCATTTTCCTATTCATTTCTTTAATATTGTATTATTTTATCATTCCCCACATGTTAACGTTTAAAGACAGTCATGGAGCCAAAGAAAAAAGATTATCCTCACCTCTCACATTTTAAAGTTGACTCGTTTTGCCTTCATTCTGTGTGGTTCATTTTTAGTGCCCACATTTGTAGTATAATTTATTTGATTGCTGACAATCTTACCTCTGTTCTAGATCCTTTTAAATTAAATTCATTTCATACTGCTGCAATAAGCAGTCCTCCCTCGTACGGGGCTTTCTTACAGGGTGGCTGTCAGGAATTAAAGCAAGTAGTCTGCAAATGAGAAGGTCGGGGGTTCGATTCCTGGCTCTTGCCCTGAACCACAAATTACCCCTGACTGCTGTACTGGTAGTGTGTGAATTGGATGTGTGTGTGGTGGACAAGGTGCTAGATATAGAAGCACTGATGAATGTGTGTGAATGGGTGGATGTGAACTGCAATGTAAAACGCTGAGTGGTTGTTAACACTAGGAAAGCGCTTTATAAATGGAGTCCATGTCACCTCATAAATATTTCTATTTTTAAGGAATATCTTAACAGTGTTTCTCTCTGTGCATAATAACACGTGTTTTATTATTCTCATGTTACTAAATTCCTTTTTCCAGCAGCCATTTTCTGAACCACCGCAAGGTTGATGAAGGACTCGAGCCATGGAGAGCTTTGAGCCAGGGTGGGAGCTGTTGCTGTTTCGAGCCTGTAAAGCCCATTTAGATCTTTTATGTGATACTGGGCTATAAATAAAGTTTATTTGAGATGACAGCGGACAGTTCTACTGCGTTTCCAAGTGACAGTTTTCATAAACCAGTGCAGTACTTTAGATAAGGTCATATCAGGGTTGCTGTATTCTATACGTCAGATTTAGTGGATTTCTATGTGCATTCATTAATTATTCTTCACAGTGGAACAAGATACATCAAATTTTAATTTGTTAAGATTTCCTGATGGCCTGTACTGTGTTCCTCTGTCCATTGCTTTTATCTACAAGTAGAATTTGTAAATTTTTTCATAGAATTGAAAAACATTTGTAATTCAAATGTCTCCAAAGGACTGAAAGCCGAACGTTGTCTTTCTGCCCTGTGTATGGCATCATGATCAATATATTTAAAATATAAATAACTCACATTTTCCTTAAATCGCCCACATCACTATGAACTACATCGTCGTCTTTCCTCATAATATAATATTTTAACATGCAAAAATACAGACCAAATACCAACATGATGTAAATGCAGACAATGTAAAACCCCATTATTGTCTGACTCAATATTTTATATATGTTATGTTAACTTTCTGCTTCTCACACTGCAGCCTCACTGTCACACACCCACGTCTGCTACGCACACAACCCACACACTGAGCTAAAGCAGCTACGCTACTTGCGCAACAATATGCTGCCTCAAATGTCGCACTTTACTATCGATGTTGCAATGAGATAATTACAGTGTAAGTTCCTTGTTAACTTGCTACTGTGTCAAAAGTACAGTTTCCACACCCGTCTGTGCATGTGTATAATAATCTGTGCAATATCATATCGTATGCTCGCAGAATTAAGGGGCGAGGGCAGCTTTACGATCTCATCCGCCTGCAGCCATAGCTAGGCACCCGTCAGAGATCCCAGGATTATTCACAACGTTTTTGTGGAAATGTTCATTAGATGTTAGATGTTTTTTGGACGTTGCCTGCTCTGCTTGACCAGGCCGGGGCCATACCCACGCAGAATGACAGAAACGACAGATTTGTCGGCTGGTTATAAACCCAGATTCCAGACAATAGCCGACTATGGCCATAAGAGGTCACTAAATTACAGGATGAAAGCAAACAGGGAATATATTTAATCGTGTATTGGACAGAACACTGAGAAATAAGGAGAGGTTAGTTTTGTTCTTCTATATATTGTTCATATATATGTCTGAACTCATCAAGCATTGTTTTCTTGGCTCGCCCTGAGAGAGCCTCACTGGAGCACAGTCGATCTACACCTACTGTATGCATTGTCAATATTAGGCCCCGTATATGAGAACACATATGCATGACAGCACACAAACATCCAATGACTCAGCATCCCTGCGCCTCTTATGACTACAGCCAGACCTACTTTTTTTTAATAAGCAGAGCGGAGGTTGACTCAAATGTCAAATCTGAAACACATGACTGAGCAAATCTCTAACGAGGGTGTGACTCCTCACCACCGAGGTTCATCCCGGCCTGGAGACACTTCCGTACGCGGCACGCCGGGCAGTTTTTCCTCCGGATCTTGTCGATGATGCAGTCGTTCCTCCCGGCGCACAGGTAGTTGTGCTGACCTACGGAGGAGAAGCACAACGTCAGTTTAATGGTGAAACATGCATGAACAGTTTGACGATTTTAAAGTGATGTGCAGCAAATAGATGAAAATGGAGGAGAGAAAGGAAGGTGATTGAGAATTCGACTTTCTACTTATTCTTATATCATAATGTAGGTCAACGCAGACACCAGTGAAATGTCAGGCGATATCCTGGATCTACATTTCATGATTGCCACTGAGAAAATGTTTGAAATTGTGATTATTCCTCTCGCTCATTGGATAACGCATGACTTACGGTGTATTATAGAGTATATGGCAAGAGGGTAGTAGAATTCTCTGGAATTAGGACACTGGCTGCAGCTAGACTTCTCCTGACAGTGATGCTAACATGGCGAGAATCCCTCCTGCCTCCTGCCTCCTGCCTAGCCCTCAGCTAAACCCAATGATCTCCCATTTCAGAGCGCTTCCTTCCGCTCCACTAGCTCTTCACTGTACAGCTCCTCTCCTCCTCCACTCTTCTCCTCCTCCTCGCCTGCATCTCTATCCCTCTTTTTTTCCCTTTTTCCACACGTCCGCCAGCCTCAGAGTGCCATACGCCCACACACAGACCGGCTCATGCTCGTGCACACATACAGTCATTCACTCGCTAGCTCACATATACATACACATTTGCATGCACACACACAGACACA